CTCTCTCTCTCTCTCTCGCTCTCTCTCTCTCTCTCTCTCTCTCTCTCTCTCTCTCTCTCTCCCCCGCCCAAAACACACACTTGCTAATCAATAATCTGTTGACGGTACTGATTCCTGGACTCGTATATATATGGCTGCACGGAATGCAACGTGGGGAGGCATGAGTGGTCAGGCGCTCTTACCGCAGCAGCACCAGCGCCGTTGTGCTTCCAGCTTGCAAGAACGAGTTTCCTGAGGTACTTCAGCTTTGGTGGAGCCTCCGTTTTGTTCGTGGCTTTGGCGAGGGCTACACGCTTTTCATACCATTCCTTGAGCGCCAGCACACCTCCTCCTCCTCCGCCTCCTCCTCCTCCCCCTCCCCTCCCTCCAGCCGCCCCGCTCTTCGTTCTTCCCAACCTCGACCCGCTGGCGCTGCCATGAGTCAATTGCCCGGTGTCGTTGTCCGACCCTGGAGATTTCCCTCCCCCGCTCTTCTGGCCAGAGCTCGAGTCCTCTCCTTCCGTGTCCCCCGCCGACATTACCATATCGCTATCACCCCAGCATCCGTGCCCCCTGACACATCTAGATGTGTATAAGAGACAGCCGCTAACCCCTCCGCCGCCGCTACCAACCCCCCCCGCGGCTCTCTCGCCCATCTCCCTCTCTTCTTTGACCACCCCAGTTTGCGAACCTCCGGCCCCCCCTTCCCCCCCTTTGCCCACATATCCTCCCTTTCCCAAACCCCCATCCTCCTCCGAGTCCAGTTCCTGATCCAGCTTCACATACCCCGCCAACCCCAGCTCTCCGCTTCCACTCCCTTGACGACGATGATGATGGTGAAGCTGATGAATGCCATTCACGAACTCTCTCGACGTATCTACTCCCCCTCCGTTGCGGTGATGATCGAACCCGCCTTTTGTTGTATTACCACATCCGGCTCCTCCGACAGGGGACAAATCGGACAAGCAGTTTTCGTATCTTGAATAACTCCCACTACTGCCGTCACTTCCGACTGCCGCGCCGCCTCCGCTGCCCTGCTTCCGGTGCAATCCCCCGCCATCCCCAGCCCCCGCAGCTATTGCCAATTCCCCGCTAGCTCCGCTACCTCCGCCATGTGCCCAGGGAAAATCCGCGAGCTCGTCGCTACTTTGCCTTGGCTTATGGAAGTGATGAGCTGGAGGATAAGCTTGATGATGATTGAGATGCTGCGCCTGCTGTTGTTGAAAATGCTGATGATGGAACTGCTGATGGCTTTGGACATGCCCCTGCTGCCCTGTCGCTATCCCAAAACCACCTCCACCTCTACTTATACCTCCACCTGGTGGCCCTGCCCCTGTCGTGGACAACCCTTCCAGCCCACCAGCATTCCCCCCTAGTCGCAGCCGCGGACTCTCGATATCCAGGTTGAGGCAGCAATCGCCATCACCACCACCTCTGCCTTGTCCCCCCCCCCCTCTCGATCTCTCCACAAGAGACGCCCCTCCCCAAGCCTTGTTCTCTCCCGGCGAAGTATTACTCTCCCCGCCGCCTCCGGCTCTTTCCGCGCCTGCATCTCTCAGCGTCATCTTCGATAACGCTTCCTGGGCATCGTAAAACCGCTCAAATACTGCGGTATCCATGCCTGCTACTACACAACATTAAGGAGATGGTAAAAGACACAATAACAGACCGAAGATGTGAAAAAGGGGACACTGTGAAGGGAAGGTGAATCGGGGAAGGAGGGGGAAGGGGGGGAAGGGGGGGAAGGGAGGGAAGGGGGAAGTGCGCGGAGGGCAGAGGGCGGGGCGCGGGGGGCGAGCGGGACAGAAACAGAGGCGTAAGGAAATAGATCAAGAGCTTGAATACGCCAGAGATAACGGCCACATCGACTAGGAATCAACGTGCTACACGTAACAAGAAACCCTCCTGAGAATCAAATGGCTTCTTGAATCAGATTCTCCGCCTCGTGGAGCATGGGAACCTCTCTCTCTCTCTCTCTCTCTCTCTCTCTCTCTCTCTCTCTCTCTCTCTCTCT